AATTGTTAACTCCAAGGGACACAGAAACCGGCGTGCGTGTTACTGAGGGATGCACAGAACAGTTACTCGCTTCAGACACTTAGATTTGATTACTGTAGGACACAGAATCTCAGTTACTTGAGGCCACAGAATCGTTACTTCAGGGACACAGAAATTTTTACATAGGGAGACAACACAGAATGATACTAGGACACACAGAATTGGTTACTGAGGGACACAGACAGTTGTTTACTAGGGCCACAGAAGTTGGTTACTTCTAGGGAGACAGACAGTTGTTACTCAGGGACAGACACAGAATTGTTACTCGATGTGGATACAGAATTGTTACAGAGAGGACACAGGATGCTGTCCTACTAACTGCCACAGAATAGCTACTAGGGCCACAGAAATTGTTACATTGAGAGGACACAGAATCAGTTACTTAGGGGACAAGACCACAGAATTGTTACTCGAGGGACACAGAATTGTTACTGAGGGCACACAACAGAATTCGTTAACTACTAGGACTGTCACAAAACGACATAGTCCACCAGAATTATTACTGATAGGGACACAGAATCGTACGTACAGGGACATGAGAACGTTTGGCTTCGGTAAATCCATGAGGGAATCGTTACTTTAGGCCACAGAAATGTTACTGAGGCCACCGAAATTGTTACTTAGGGACAGAATTGGTTACATGGGATACAGAATTATGGTACTGAGGGACACAGGAATGTGTAGGGTTACTTAGTGGTCCACAGAATTGTTACAGGGGACACAGAATTGTTTACTTGGAGGCGATACAGTCAGAATTGTATTACTCGAGGGCCACCGAACCGACTTAGGGCACAAGAATTGTTACATAGGGACTAACAGAATTGTATAACTCAGGACGACACAGAATTGTACTACACTGAGATGGACACAGAATTGTTACTGATGTTTGGGGGACACAGTGAACTGTTACTGAGGGCCACAGATTGAATTTACATCAAGGGACCACAGAACTGTTACTTAGGGCCACAGACACTAATGTGTTACGTGAGGGAACGACAATTGTTACTTATGGCCTACAGAATCTACGTTACTAAGGGCCACAGAAAATCGGACTATAGGACACAGAATTGTTACTGAGGGCCACAGAACTTGTTACTTATGGACACAGACATAGGTATAGTGGCGACAGACATAGAGTTTTACTCCAGGGACACACAGATTGGTTTATGAGGGACCATAGAATTTGGTTGAGATGGTGAGGGACACAGAATGTAGGATTGTACAGAGAGCCACAAGAATATGAGACTTCGAGGGCCCCAGAAACATTGTGTAACTGGTAGGTGGGTTTACAGGGGGGGGGACTCAGTACTAGGAGGTGGTTAGAATTGTTACTGTGGGTAAGGTGACACAGAAATTGGGTTACAGGTGGGTGCACTTATGAAATTGTAACTAGGGACACAGATTGTTACTTTGGACCAACTAGATAGTTGGTTACTGAGGGACACGTGATTTGTTACTGGTGGGACGACAAAAATGTTACATGAGGGACACAGATTTTACTCAGGGAGTGAGACACAGAATTGTTACTCCAGGACAACACAGAATTGTTACTGGAGGTAGACACAGATTTGGTTACTAGAAAGGAGTTAGATTGATGTTACTGAGTGAACATATGTCATTACTTGAGGGTGATCTATGTAATTGGGTTAATCGCTAGGGACAACACAGAATTAATATGTTAGAGGAAGAGGAAATGGATAAGAGGTATAAGTATGAATTAGGGGGGGGGTATTAGGATTATATTAAGGGTGGGGATGGGAAAGGGTGATTAGTTATAGGGAAGAGTAAGAAAAGGAAGGGGGGGGGAAAGATAATTGAGTTGGTGAGATGGAGGGGGGGAGATAAAATAGGGGTATGGGTGGTTGTGAGTTATGTGGGGGGGATGGTTAGGGGGGTTATGAAGAAGAGGATGATAATGAGTTGTTGGTAGGGGGTGGTGTGGGGAGAGGGTGAGGGAGTGTGTATGGAGGGAGAAGTAAAATATAGATAAGTGGGGATTGTTGGGGGTGTAAATATGGGAGGGGTTGTGTGTGAGGGTGAGATAAGGGGATGATGAGAGAGGGATGATTGGAGTTGGAGGGAAGATGATGATGTTTTTGTGGGGGGATGAGGGATGAGTGATTTTATGGGCAGGGGGGAAATGGTGGGATGATGGGGAGCATGGGGATGGGGGAATTTAGGAATAGTGTTGATAATGAGATAAATAGGATAAGTAAATAATAGAAAGTGGTGGGGCCGGTGTGCACGGAGGATGTAGCAGTCAGCCAGTGACGGCGGTGTGGCAATTTTTGTCAAGCCGCCCGAGGAAGTAAACGTAGCCGTATGTCGACTATGTGGCCAGAAAGTCAAGCGTGGCCAGGGGCCCATGTTGGGACTACAGCGTTGCGTCAGCATATGCAGCGTCGCCATTTGGTGGCCTGGGAAAACCGTGATAAAGATACGGCGGTTCTGCCCGCCCCAGCCCCCGCTCCATCACCCGCTCCGTTACTTGCTCCGTCACCCGACGTCAATCAATCGCCCTCTATCAGCCAGTCAAGGCTCCAACACCTCTGCTGAGGGGAGTTGTCGCTCGTTGGCATCTTCCGCTCGTTCAGATGCTCCTTCTCCTGCTACTCCTTCACGGATTCCGTCAGCAGTCTTTCTTGGAATCCGTTTCCAAGAGACAACAGTTTGCGAGCACGCACCCGACGGTGCAAAAGCTGAACGTCCTCCTGTCCAAGTTGCTGGTGCTGCAGTCCCTCCCTTTCCAAGTGGTGGACTCAGCACCTTTCCGAGAAATGATGGCTTGTGCCGCGCCGCGGTGGAGAGTGCCAAGCCGTCATTTCTTCGCCAAAAAGGCAGTGCCAGCCCTGCATTCACATGTAGAAGAGATGGTGGGCCAGTCTTTGAGCATGTCGGTCTCTGCCAAAGTGCACGGCAGCGCCGACGTGTGGAGCTGTAACTACGGTCAGGGACAGTACATGTCATTTACGGCCCACTGGGTGAACGTGGTGGTGCCGTCACAGCCGCACCAGCAACTTGGACAGGTCACGCCGCTTTTGCCTCCACGTTTGCACGTCCTTGGTCCGGCAAAGATGTCCGCCTCTACCACCTCTTCTTCCGCCGTGTCCTCAGCGCCACCCCCCCCGTGCCAAGTCCCATTACCCGACCGGCATATCACATGTGCAGGGCGCAACGGTGTCACGCTGTGCTGCACCTGGTATGCCTTGGCGAACGTAGTCACACAGGGGAGGAACTTCTGAGTGTAATGAACAGAGAAATCGACAGATGGCTGTCTCCGCGCAAACTGAAAATCGGAACCATGTTGACCGACAACGGAAAGAACATGGTGTCTGCTCTGCGTCAAGGAAGGTTGTGCCATGCGCCATGCATGGCTCACGTGTTCAATCTGGTTGTCAAGAGGTTCCTAAAATCCACCATCCCACTGCAAGACATCCTTAAAATGTCACGTAAACTTTGCATGCATTTCAGCCATTCCTACACCGCAAAGCACACCCTCCTTGAGCTGCAGCGGCAGAACGGAATTCCACAGCATCGCCTGATCTGCGACGTTGCAACAAGGTGGAATTCAACCCTACACATGTTAGAACCGCCTTTTACGAACAGCGAAAGGCCATCACCGATTTCCTGATGTTACAAGCGGATAAAGGTACTCCCCTGTGTAACTTCGATGTCAGCCATTGGCAGCTCATGCGTGTGACACCTGCCGCTTGCTCAGGCCCTTTGAGAGGCCACGCTATTCGTGAGTCGGCAGGACTATGGGATGAACGACGTCATTCCTCTGTTGCACGTCCTGGAACAAATGCTGTTAACAATGGCTGGTCAGGGTGCGGTAGACGTGGCGCACAGATCTCAACGCCACATGACCCCTGTGGGGGCAGGACAGGAAGAAGAGGAGGAGGTAGAGGAGGACATTTGTGCTCAGGAATTATTGAGTGAAATGGGTGGTTTTTCCACTCAGCGGACAGGAGTGGAGGAGCAGGAGCATCTGGTAGAGGAGGAGGAGGAGACAGAGGACCCAGACGCACCGTGGCAGTATGCTGTGGAGATGGAGGCAGGGAGTCCCTCGCATTCCTTGGCACAAATGGCCCATAGCATGCTCGGTTGCTTGCGTAGCGACAGCCGAATAATAACCATCAGACAGAGGGATGACTTTTGGCTGTCCACCTTGTTGGACCCTCGCTACCGTTCAAAAATGGTGGCCTTTTTCACACCTGCTGAGAGGGAGGCCAAAATAACGTACTATAAAAACCACCTATGTAGTCAGTTGGTCTCTGCCTTTCTGCGCCAACGTCCATCCTCAGACACTGTGGGCCCTGTGCGCTCGCGTTCCGCTGCCATGGCAGCAGGGGAGGGGTGGGGTGGTAGGAGCAGTGGCAGCTCCACCAGCAGCGGCTGCCTCAGTCTGCAGTCGATGATGAGTAGCTTTCTTCACCAGCGCAGTGAGGAAACTACTAACCAGCCGCAGCAGCAGCAGCAGCATCAGGTGGACCTGGAGCAGGACCTCAAACAACAGGCTTGGGCCTACTTGGACAGCACCCTGCCAACCGAGGTAGACAATCCCCTTGACTACTGGGCAACGAAACTTGACCTTTGGCCCCAACTAGCTGAATTTGCCCTTGAAAGGCTGTCATGCCCGGCCAGTAGCGTGGCATCGGAGCGCGTGTTTTAGTGCGGCAGGAGGTATTGTAACTCCGCGGAGGACACGACTGTCCACCCAAAGTGTGGAGAGACTCACGTTTGTGAAAATGAATCAGGCGTGGATTAGTCTGGATTTCAAACCACCAGTTCCTGACACAACTGACTAAATCCGCCATGAATCATGCCCCAAACATGTGCCACTTTCAGGTCTCCTCACACTGCTGGTGTGTGTTCCATTTTTTGTCATAGGGTGCTGGCAGATTACGGGCCTCCCATAGCTGCTGCCAGGCCCCTAATCTGCCATGGGCCCCTGTACCGCCTCCTCATGCTGCCAGGTCCCAGTCTCTCATGGGTCCCTGTACGGCCTCCCACAGCTGCTGTCTCCATCGCCCACTCTGCCATGCCACTTTCAGGTCTCCTCACACTGCTGGTGTGTTCCATTTTTTGTCATAGGGTGCTGGCAGATTACGGGCCTCCCATAGCTGCTGCCAGGCCCCTAATCTCCATGGGCCCCTATACCGCCTCCTCATGCTGCTGCCAGGTCCCAGTCTCTCATGGGTCCCTCATGCCATGTGCCACATTTTCAGGTCTCCTCACACTGCTGGTGTGTCTCCTTCCATTTTTTTGTCATAGGGTGCTAGATTACGGGCCTCCCATAGCTGCTGCCAGGCCCCTAATCTGCCATGGGCCCCTATATACCGCCTCCTCATGCTGCTGCCAGGTCCAGAGTCTCTCATGGGTCCCCTGTACGGCCTCCCATTGCTGCTGTCTCCATCGCCACACTCTGCCATGTGCCACTTTCAGGTCTCCTCACACACTGCTGGTGTGTTCCATTTTTTGTCATAGGGTGCTGGCAGATTACGGGCCTCCCATAGCTGCTGCCAGGCCCCTAATCTGCCATGGGCCCCTATACCGCCTCCTCATGCTGCTGCCAGGTCCAGAGTCTCTCATGGGTCCCTGTACGGCCTCCCATTGCTGCTGTCTCCATCGCCACACTCTGCCATGTGCCACTTTCAGGTCTCCTCACACACTGCTGGTGTGTTCCATTTTTTGTCATAGGGTGCTGGCAGATTACGGGGCCTCCCATAGCTGCTGCCAGGCCCCTAATCTGCCATGGGCCCCTGTACCGCCTCCTCCTCAGCTGCTGCTGCCAGGTCCAGAGTCTCTCATGGGTCCCCCACGGTCCCATTGCTGTGTCTCCATCGCCACACTCTGCCATGTGCCACTTTCAGGTCTCCTCACACACTGCTGGTGTGTTCCATTTTTTGTCATAGGGTGCTGGCAGATTACGGGCCTCCCATAGCTGCTGCCAGGCCCCTAATCTGCCATGGGCCCCTATATACCGCCTCCTCATGCTGCTGCCAAGTCCAGAGTCTCTCATGGGTCCCTGTACGGCCTCCCATTGCTGCTGTCTCCATCGCCACACTCTGCCATGTGCCACTTTCAGGTCTCCTCACACACTGCTGTGTGTTCCATTTTTTGTCATAGGGTGCTGGCAGATTATTACGGGCCTCCCATAGCTGCTGCCAGGCCCCTAATCTGCCATGGGCCCCTATACCGCCTCCTCATGCTGCTGCCAGGTCCAGAGTCTCTCATGGGTCCCTGTACGGCCTCCCATTGCTGCTGTCTCCATCGCCACACTCTGCCATGTGCCACTTTCAGGTCTCCTCACACTGCTGGTGTGTTCCATTTTTTGTCATAGGGTGCTGGCAGATTACGGGCCTCCCATAGCTGCTGCCAGGCCCCTAATCTGCCATGGGCCCCCCTCTCATACCGCCTCCTCATGCTGCTGCTGCCAGGTCCACACTCTGCCATGTGCCACTTTCAGGTCTCCTCACACTGCTGGTGTGTTCCATTTTTTTGTCATAGGGTGCTGGCAGATTACGGGCCTCCCATAGCTGCTGCCATGCCCCTAATCTGCCATGGGGGCCCCTATACCCCTCCTCTCATCCTGCTCATGCCCAGGTCCACAGTGCTGCTGTCTCCATGCCATGTGCCACTTTCAGGTCTCCTCACACTGCTGCTGTGTTTCCATTTTTTTGTCATAGGGTGCTGGCAGATTACGGGCCTCCTCATAGCTGCTGCCAGGCCCCTAATCTGCCATGGGCCCCTATATACCGCCTCCTCATGCTGCTGCCAGGTCCAGAGTCTCTCATGGGTCCCTGTACGGCCTCCCATTGCTGCTGTCTCCATCGCCACACTCTGCCATGTGCCACTTTCAGGTCTCCTCACACACTGCTGGTGTGTTCAATTTTTTGTCATAGGGTGCTGGCAGATTACGGGCCTCCCATAGCTGCTGCCAGGCCCCTAATCTGCCATGGGCCCCTATACCGCCTCCTCATGCTGCTGCCAGGTCCAGAGTGTCTCTCATGGGTCCCTGTGTACGGCCCCCATTGCTGCTGTCTCCATCGCCACACTCTGCCATGTGCCACTTTCAGGTCTCCTCTCACACTGCTGGTGTGTTCCATTTTTTGACATAGGGTGCTGGCAGATTACGGGCCTCCCATAGCTGCTGCTGCCAGGCCCCTAATCTGCCATGGGCCCCTGTACCGCCTCCTCATGCTGCTGCCAGGTCCAGAGTCTCTCATGGGTCCCTGTACGGCCTCCCATTGCTGTCTCCATCGCCACACTCTGCCATGTGCCACTTTCAGGTCTCCTCACACTGCTGGTGTGTTCCATTTTTTGTCATAGGGTGCTGGCAGATTACGGGCCTCCCATAGCTGCTGCAGGCCCCTAATCTGCCATGGGCCCCCTATACCGCCTCCTCATGCTGCTGCCAAGTCCAGAGTCTCTCATGGGTCCCTGTACGGCCTCCCATTGCTGCTGTCTCCATCGCCACACTCTGCCATGTGCCACTTTCAGGTCTCACACACACTGCTGGTGTGTTCCATTTTTTGTCATAGGGTGCTGGCAGATTACGGGCCTCCCATAGCTGCTGCCAGGCCCCTAATCTGCCATGGGCCCCCCCTATATACCGCCTCCTCATGCTGCTGCCAGGTCAGGTCCAGAGTCTCTCATGGGTCCCTGTACGGCCCCCATTGCTGCTGTCTCCATCGCCACACTCTGCCATGTGCCACTTTCAGGTCTCCTCACACTGCTGGTGTGTTCAATTTTTTGTCATAGGGTGCTGGCAGATTACGGGCCCTCCCATAGCTGCTGCCAGGCCCCTAATCTGCCATGGGCCCCTATACCGCCTCCTCCTCATGCTGCTGCCAGGTCCCAGAGTTCATGGGTCCCTGTACGGCCTCCCATTGCTGCTGTCTCCATCGCCACACTCTGCCATGTGCCACTTTCAGGTCTCCTCACACACTGGTGTGTTCCATTTTTTGACATAGGGTGCTGGCAGATTACGGGCCTCCCATAGCTGCTGCCAGGCCCCTAATCTGCCATGGGCCCCTACCGCCTCCTCCTGCTGCTGCTGCCTCCAGTCCAGAGTCTCTCATGGTCCCTGTACGGCCTCCCATTGCTGCTGTCTCCATCGCCACACACTCTGCCATGTGCCACTTTCAGGTCTCCTCACACTGCTGGTGTGTTCCATTTTTTGTCATAGGGTGCTGGCAGATTACGGGCCTCCCATAGCTGCTGCCAGGCCCCTAATCTGCCATGGGCCCCTATACCGCCTCCTCATGCTGCTGCCAGGTCCAGTCCAGAGTCTCTCATGGGTCCCTGTACGGCCTCCCATTGCTGCTGTCTCCATCGCCACTCCACGCCCTGCCATGTGCCACTTCAGGTCTCCTCACACTGCTGGTGTGTTCCATTTTTTTGTCATAGGGTGCTGGCAGATTACGGGCCTCCCATAGCTGCTGCCAGGCCCCTAATCTGCCATGGCCCCCTGAATCCTCATGCTGCTGCCAGGTCCTCCTCATGGGTCCCTGTACGGCCTCCCATTGCTGCTGTCTCCATCGCCAGTGTCTCTGCCATGTGCCACTTTCAGGTCTCCTCACACTGCTGGTGTGTTCCATTTTTTGACATAGGGTGCTGGCAGATTACGGGCCTCCCATGCTGCTGCCAGGCCCCTAATCTGCCATGGGCCCCTATACCGCCTCCTCATGCTGCTGCCAGTCCCAGAAGTCTCTCATGGGTCCCTGTACGGCCTCCCATTGCTGCTGTCTCCATCGCCACACTCTGCCATGTGCCACTTTCAGGTCTCCTCACACTGCTGGTGTGTTCCATTTTTTGTCATAGGGTGCTGGCAGATTACGGGCCTCCCATAGCTGCTGCCAGGCCCCTAATCTGCCATGGGCCCCTGTACCGCCTCCTCATGCTGCTGCCAGGTCCAGAGTCTCTCATGGGTCCCTGTACGGCCTCCCATTGCTGCTGTCTCCATCGCCACACTCTGCCATGTGCCACTTTCAGGTCTCCTCACACACTGCTGGTGTGTTCCATTTTTTTTGTCATAGGGTGCTGGCAGATTACGGGCCTCCCATAGCTGCTGCTGCCAGGCCCCTAATCTGCCATGGCCCCTATACCGCCTCCTCATGCCTGCCAGGTCCCATGCTGCTGGTCCCTGTACAGGCCTCCCAGTGTCTCATCGCCACTCTGCCATGTGCCACTTTCAGGTCTCCTCACACACTGCTGGTGTGTTCCATTTTTTGTCATAGGGTGCTGGCAGATTACGGGCCTCCCATAGCTGCTGCCAGGCCCCTAATCTGCCATGGGCCCCTGTACCGCCTCTCTCTTCATGCTGCTGCCAGGTCCAGTCTCTCATGGGTCCCTGTACGGCCTCCATTGCATGTCTCCATCGCCTGCCATGTGCCACTTTCAGGTCTCCTCACACTGCTGGTGTGTTCCATTTTTTTGTCATAGGGTGCTGGCAGATTACGGGCCTCCCATAGCTGCTGCCAGGCCCCTAATCTGCCATGGGCCCCTGTACCGCCTCCTCATGCTGCTGCCAAGTCCAGAGTCTCTCATGGGTCCCTGTAGCGGCCTCCCATTGCTGCTGTCTCCATCGCCACACTCTGCCATGTGCCACTCAGGTCAGGTCTCCTCACACTGCTGGTGTGTTCCATTTTTTGTCATAGGGTGCTGGCAGATTACGGGCCTCCCATAGCTGCTGCCAGGCCCCTAATCTGCCATGGGCCCCCCTATACCGCCCCCTCCTCATGCTGCTGCCAGGTCCAGAGTCTCTCATGGGTCCCTGTACGGCCTCCCATTGCTGCTGTCTCCATCGCCACACTCTGCCATGTGCCACTTTCAGGTCTCCTCACACTGCTGGTGTGTTCCATTTTTTGACATAGGGTGCTGGCAGATTACGGGCCTCCCATAGCTGCTGCCAGGCCCCTAATCTGCCATGGCCCCCCTGATACCGCCTCCTCCATGCTGCAGGCCAGGTCCACAGTCTCCATGGGTCCCTGACACCGCCTCCCATTGCTGCTGTCTCCATCGCCACACCAACTCTGCCATGTGCCACTTTCAGGTCTCCTCACACACTGCTGGTGTGTTCCATTTTTTGTCATAGGGTGCTGGCAGATTACGGGCCTCCCATAGCTGCTGCCAGGGCCCTAATCTGCCATGGGCCCCTGTACCGCCTCCTCTGCTGCTGCTGCCAAGTCCACAGTCTCTCATGGGTCCCTGTACGGCCTCCCATTGCTGCTGTCTCCATCGCCACACTCTGCCATGTGCCACTTTCAGGTCTCCTCACACTGCTGGTGTGTTCCCATTTTTTGTCATAGGGTGCTGGCAGATTACGGGCCTCCCATAGCTGCTGCCAGGCCCCTAATCTGCCATGGGCCCCTGTACCGCCTCCTCATGCTGCTGCTGCCAGGTCCAGAGTCTCTCATGGGTCCCTGTACGCCTCCCATTGCTGCTGTCTCCATCGCCACACTCTGCCATGTGCCACTT